GGCCTGTGCCCAGGGGCCCCAGCCAATTTGCGGGCCCCCACAGGAGCGTGAGAACCTGTGTAGAAGTGCGCTGCTCCTCCTCTTCCCCCGAGGCCCCGCCCCTTGCTCCTCCTCTTCTCCCCAAGGTCCCGCCCCCTGGCCAGGCCAGAAGCCAGAGCAGGGCGCTGGTAAGAGCTGCCCAGGGAGCCTGGACCATTGTGGAGAGCCCCAGACCCTCCACCTGACACGTATACATGGAAGGAAAAGGTAACAAAACCACAAAAAGCATCTATGTACCAGCGCTGTCCTCCCCCAGGTGCATAACTTCCCCCCCAACGCCTTGATCCTAAGGTTAGAGAGGAGACGATCATTCAGGTGGGAAATCAATGCAGCCTGAATTAACTGAAGTCTTCAATCAGCCATTTTCCTTGCTGAGTGTGTCAGGAATGTATTAACTCTGAAATCTGCTCCCCGGGGGCCTGTTCGCAGTATATCCAGTGCAGATTGAAGCACAAACTGTTTCAGATCAGCAGAGATTTTCTCCATTTCCTGCAATTCCTGGACGGCTGTTAACCCCTTCATCAGCCACTGAAGATCTCAGCACAAGAGTGCAATGTTCCTACTGACACTGTAGCCTGCCCCACCATTCCTCCCAGCCCACCCTCTGTTTGGGTGCTGCTCCCACCCTCCTGCAGGTCAGCAGCAAGAAGGAGTCTCAGATGGAGGAAGGCTGGTGGTGTGTTTGCTTATTCTGAATAGTTAGTTGTGGCAATGTAGCACTCAGGAGGCCAGCACCCCGTTGCGCTAGGTGCTGTACAAACATACAACAAAAAGATGGTCTCTGTCCCAAAGAGTTCACAGTCTAAAACACAAGACAACAGATGGACACGGGCTGACAGATGGGGGAGTACAAAGAAACAATGGGACAATAAGGTTATGGCACTGAACTGTGGCTCGGGAGATCTGGGTTTGGATTCCTAGCCCTGCCACTGATTTCTTGCACACCCTTGTCACTTAATCTCTATTTTGTAGAGGTGATATCCCATTCTCCTCACTGTGGTATCACCGGGCCTCCCAGTCTTCATTTGTCCCATGGGGATGACAGAATTTCCTTGGCACATGGGGGGGCCTGGGAGGATGAATCCACAGAGGCCAAGGAGGTGCTCAGATGCTGCAGCGATGGATTCATAGAGCCAGATGAATAAATTTGTTGGCATAAAGCTGAAATCTACCCTGCAAAAATCCAGATTCCCCACACTACACACACACACTTTTCTAAAGTGAATCTTGAATAAGTGACGTTCTCCGGCATATGTCCACCTGGCCCCGCATTGACTCAGCTGCTCCCTGCTGGGATGTCATATCTATAACAAAGAGTAATATCCTCGCATATCTTTCCCACTAGCTTTTTGGAAGAGAAAAGGTAGATCTCTGTGAACCCCAGGCTCCGGTACAGCCTCTGGCCCTCCAGATTCACCATGCTAACATCCAGGATCACTGCCTGGTAGCCACGCTGCTGGGCAAAGCTAAGGTCTGGCCTGGTCAGAGCTCTGGTAATGCCCCTGTTCCGATGGCTCCATCTGACCGACAGCCATGCCGGTTCCAGCGTGCACTCGCCATCTATATAACGGGAGGGGGCTTGGCAGATACAATAGTCACCACTTCCCCTTCAGACTCAGCCACCCAGAAACGGGAATCTTCCCTCTCCATGTAGGTTTTCTGTATGTCCCACAGGTCCTCCCTGAGACACCGCTCTATGTACTGAACATAGTAAGAGTCATCAGAAGCCAGCCTGCAGCTAAGAGGACAGGGGCAGCCAGCAGAGAAAGGAGGAGGCAGCCGGAGCTCAGGAACAGCGCGAGGCGCACACCCAGGAGGAGCAGGTGAGCCCGTGGGAGCATCAGCATATGCGGGTAGTCTGAGGGACGTGCTCACGCCTGCCAGCCACAAACAAGCTCCTCGCCGCCTCGCAACTCGGTACTCCCGAATGCAGCAACCAGCCACGGCTTCGGGCATGTTGCTATCCTAAGGAAACAGACTGTTAATTGGGCAGAGAGGGTTGTGCATCTGAGAGACCTAATGTCAACTCAACGCCATCAACAAGTGCCCACTCCTGCAGGACCCAGGCAGGCAAAACTCCCCCTGGCTGCAGCCTCAGGCCTTGGCCATCGGATGGTTCATCTTAAGACACAGCTATATGGGGGACAGTGTTTAGGTCGGGGTCCATGTCCAGCTGTGCCCTTCAGTGCCTCCTCCCAAGGTACCACCATGCCATGTTTGTTTGGATGTTAGAAGGATCGCCGGCCACCATCTGAGCACTGGGGACGCGACCTAATGTTGGCCGTCCTTCACTGAGCCATGGAGTCACCCTGCCCTGGTGACAGACGGCCAGCCAGGACTCCTGCAGGCCACTGATTTGTTTTCATGAATCAGTCACCCAATTATCTGTTCCAAATCACATAATCATCCGCCACATTGTACAAGACACCATAGACAGCACCTGGCCATTACTTGTCTAATCTGTTTCTGCTCGTTGATACTCTAAGGGCTATAGCTAACGGCAGGACTGGCTGAGAGGACGCGGAGGAGGGCTCTGGCACATGGTGGCTGTCCATGTGAGACTCCAAAGGCCCCTCATGGTTAGAAGACCCAGAGTCCTTCCCTCAGGTGGAGAACCCCATCCGGGAGTGCCGAGGAGGGATGAGAGAGCCCAGCAGATGGAGCAGGAGAGAACCAGTTGGACATAGCTGGTGGCCTTCTGTGTCCCCTGAGAGAGTTTGGGTTCAGAGTGGCTGATGGCTCTGACTAGTTCTGTTTTTAATCCCTTCTTCCCCTTAGAAATGCTCGTCGCTCGGTGGTTAATACCTTGTGAGTGGCCTCCTCCACACTCTGCTGCTCACTCGGATCGGACCCCCGGAGGGGAAAGGCGCTGTATGTTATAACCAGACCCCTCAACCCTCCAGCTCCTCCATACTCTGCCCTTATCATGACACCGACACTGCTGCTGTCATCAGTAGGAACGTAAGGCAGCTCCCGCCTCCATCACACCTCCCCATCAACCCAAGGAAGACACATCGCTATTCTGGCAAGATGGCTGCCTCCAGAAATGGCCTTGGAAATGCTCATAGCCATTTTAGCCCTGGCAAGACCCTCTCAGCCTGGGGACCTCTGGCTGGCTGGCCTGAGGACATTGGGCCCCACCTTTCTTGTAGCAGCTTCTGCTCTTACCCCCTGGATAACTACAGCACATTCACTTACTTGCCCCATTCAGATTCCCAGCTCAGTCAGTGGCTCATGCTGGTTCCCATTAATCTCCGTCTCGTCTGGTCTCCCGTTCCGTTTCTGGCCTGGCTCTTGGTCTCACAACTCCAGTGTTTCTTGTTAATCTGAGACATTTTATAGGTTTGTTAGTCTTCTAAGGTGCCACAAGTACTCCTTTTCTTTCTGCAGACGTTTTATAGCTTCTGTACCTTGCCCCACTTATCAGCTCATTGGTTCGGCCCCTTCCTTTGCCCCTCCCAGGGCCAGACATCAACACAAGCAACAGCTCGGCGCCCTGTGCACATATGCAGTTCCCGAGCTCAGTGCCTGCTTTCTCCCTTGGGCAGTGGGTAACTTGGGCATCTGTTCTTCCCCGGGATGCTGCAAAGCACATACGTCCTCCAAACCAGCCAACACAACCACCTCCTTTTACCCCTATTTAGCACATCATGGTTTTAGTCACCGCAGACCCGTTCCAAACCCCACCTGACTGTGGCTAGGTGACATCTCCCTCCCGAATATCACCAACAGCAACCCGCTGAATTCCCCAGCTCACCCACCCATCTCTGTGAGACCCGCCTCAGCATGAGTGAAATTCGCCTCTGTGCACACAGCCAGCACAAGGGCTATGCACCACTTAAGTGTGGACTTGTGTGATGCAGACACCATGCACTGGCCCTCTGCAAAGGGGTGAATTTCACCAACAGTGTAAACCCACAGGGCCAGATCCTCAGCTGGCGTCAATCAGCGTTGCTCTGTTGAAGACAATGGGCCGCATCTAACAATCTAAAAGGAACCCAGCACCTGCCCATGGCAAGCAGAGACCAGTCCATCTACAAGGGGAAAGGATAGGGCTAAATATAAAGGGGACTAGGAAGGAACCAGGGATAAACAGTGATAACTAAATGACCCCCAGATAACCAGAAGCTCCCTTCGATCATCCCATCCCCTCCTCTCCAGCGATTCAGGATCCCACAAGCAGCACAGGGACGTAAAATGGGGGTGTCACCCCAGAGTGTCTCCAGGCCTCGGAGAAGGGAGGGTGGGCAGGCCAGAGGGCACACCCATGCTTTGGGGCTCTTTAACATCAAGACCTGCGGTTGCTAACTCAAATAACATAGCAGGTCTGCCCAGTGCCTGGGTGCAATGTGGGCCCTAGGGTGACCGCCTTTTCAAAATGCAAAAACAGGAAACATGCAGGAGCCCCACCCTCCTCTGTCATGCCTCCTCCTGCTCCTCCTCTTCCCCCATGGCCCCGACCCCTGGCCACACTGGAACCCGGAGCTGGGCCATGATAAGAGCCACCCAGAAAGCCCGGGCTGTGGTGGGAAGTATTTTAGGAAGGCACTAGGAAGTCTGGGATATGGGTGGTTGGACTCAGGCCTGCATAATGCAGTGCAGATGCTGAACCTCCAGGTTGGGACCCAGGGTTCAACAATTCCTAACCTGGGGTTACAGATGAGTGTAGACATTCAAGCCCTAGGTTAACAAACCCAGGTCTGCTAACTCGAGTTCTCTTAACTCTGGGCTTACATTGCAGGGTAAACATACCCTAAGGCCCCGATCCTGCAACCTGCTCACATGGATGCAGGCTCCACCCACGCAGAGAAGTTTGCATAATCAGGCCCTTACATTGCAAGCTTCTTAGTGCAAGAGACCTTTTCATTTATGCCTGGTGTGGGACCAAGAACATTGCTGGCATGTACCAAATAACCTTAATAAGATAGCATGGCTCCCGCTTGGACAAGGGAGCAGAAGACATACAGCAAGACGGTGTCCCCCGGAACAGGATGCCACTGGAGAACGTGGCAACCACTGGGAAAAGGTATGTGGATTTTCTGGTTCCTCGTGTTAATAGCAGCAGAGCATGTTACATATAGGTTGGAACTTGGAGCAAATGCAGAGGCGTTGACTCTGGAGGTGATGAAGTCTCCCTGCTCATTTACTGTGACATCACCAGTGATGCAAGCAGGGCTGGTGAGTGGGAGAGGCTGTCACATTCAAGGAACACCCCAGCATGCAGAGCCCCTCTCCCTTCCCCACCAGCCACAGACGTTTGAGGGGGTGGGGAATCCTAATCTAATGACGTTGAGGCACAAGACCCCTTGGCCGATGAAGTTGACCTGTGGAGTCACTGAGTGTATTTGAAGAAGGATTCCCCCGCACGGGTGTGATTCAAGATGTTCCTCTTCGCCCGTAAAACCAAGACCCCCATCAGCACCTACACGGACTCCTACAGAGCACCGAATAGCATGAGAAAAACCTTCCAGGAACCTCCAATGACTCTGTGGAACGAGAATAAGTTTGTGACGGAGGTAAATCCCCTCCCCCCAGCCCCCCACCCAGTAGGCAGTGTTATCAGAGGCAGGATCTCAGCTTCTGTAGTGTTCCTAAGCTCTGCCACCATGGGGTTCCTCTTCATCTCAGCTTCTGAAGAGCCCCATGAGCCGTTCAGATGCTGATTTTTATGATGGTTTGGGTGTCTTCATAAAATGTGGGTCTCCCCTTTCCACTTAGCGGTTTGACTGTGCAGCTGTGCCAGCCTGATGGTAACGGTATCGCTTTAAACTACCTAAAAGTGCAGCTGGTGAGCAAGAGGCAGTCTGTTATTGTCCTCGTTTATAAATGAGCGCTGGTCACTACTGCTGTGGGAGGGGTATAATAAATGCAGCCACTGGAGTGCTTATATAGCACTTTTCATAAGAGGCCAGTTTCGTTCTCCCCATTTTAAGATGGGGAAACTGAGGCACGGCAAGGGGAAGTGATTTGACCAAGGTCACCCAGCAGGTCAGTGGCAGAGAAAGAAACAGAACCCGTGTCTCCAGAGGCCCAGTCTATTGCCTGAGCCAGTAGGCCATATTTTTATTTGTTCATGTTCCTCTGTGCAAGAAGAGCTGCATGCCAGTCCCAAATGGAAAGTTTTCACTAACAACAGTCTGTACTGAAGTCATGGTGTCCTTCGGGCCAGCCATCGCTCTTAAAGGGCAGGGATTGCATTGTTAGCTCTGTGAAGCACCTTGCTGTAGGTGCTATAAAATAATACACAGAGATGGTCCATGGAGAGTATAGGTCACAACATAAATTCGGCCACACTGGGTCAGACCAATGGTCCATCTAGCCCAGGATCCTGTCACTGACAGTGGCCGGTGCCAGATGCTTCAGAGGGAATGAACAAACAGGGCAATTACAGAGTGATCCACCCCCTGTCGTCTACTCCCAGCTTCTGGCAGCTGGAGATTTAGGGACAGCTGAAGCATGAGCTTGTGTCCCTGACTATCTTGGCTAATAGCCATTGATGGACTCCATGAACTTATTTAATTCTTTTCTGAACCCATTATTCTTTTGGCCATCACAACATCCCCTGGCAACACGTTCCACAAGTTGACTGTAATGCAATATGTCCTGGCCATTTAGATTTAGATCTGACATTGCATGCTGGGCCCTATGGTCTCTATGGACCATAGTTTTATCCAAATTAGTTGCCAAAATTTGGGGGCACTTTTGTAAAGACACTCCAGAGATCGCAGACTGGCCTCTCTTGCCATGTCTTTCAGTGGATCCTGGTTAGTCTCCTTGGGTCCGAGGCTCTGTGCATTGGCCAAGCTAGAACTGGCCTGTTGCGGGGTTCCCAGCTGCAGAGGCCTGCACAATTCATCACAGTAATTTTGTCATGAGAGATTTTGAAACATGCCATGTGAATTAGATCTGGGGATGAAAACCCTGCAGAACAGCTTTTATATGCAAATGTATGATGAATTTTTGCCAGCGGGTAACACTGAACATAATATACAAAAGTTCCCCTGCCTCCAGGTTCACAATGTTCTCCACAGACATGGTATCTGAGCAGCCAGCCAGCTTCTTTCTCTGTGCATGAACTTTCCACTACATCCCTCTATGCATCTGTCCTTTGGCTTGGACTATGGTACCCAGCACCCTCTGCTGTACAGATTGTGGCAGAACTGGTGAATGACCATTAGAAAATGTTTTAGAGCTGAGGTGCAGAGCGAGAGCATCCAAAAAAGGGAGGCTAAACAATCACAGAGAGGCTCTTTCGGGGCAATGCAGGCTCAGCCTGGGCACTTAGCAGTATGGGGTGTATGACACACAGCTAAGCAGCTCTGGTGCTATCTAGATGGGGACAGCATTGCATGCATATGCTAGCCAGCTCACTGCAACTGAAGCTTGCTGCAGGCTGAGGAAGAAAGACATGCTGTACTCCAGGAGGCACTGCCAGCAGCAGCTAATTATTAGTTATCTAATCCACTTCCCGTTGCCAAGAATCGAATCACTCTAATTAGTGGGAGGGAGCCACTGGTCATGAACTGAACATAGCAAAGACTGCAACAGAGAGACTGAGGAGAGGCTGTGCGGCCCGCTCAGGCAGTCGTGGTCAGAAAGATGCGAGAAGCCGTCCCCTTGGATGGACGCCGCGGTGGGGAGGAGAGAGCTCCAAAGGATGCTGGGGACCTGGCAATGGAAGAACGGGGGTCATTTCTGTAAGCCCTACTAATGCAGCACGGTGCTCTGTCTACCTCGGGTGCGCAGGCCACACAGAGGTTTATCAGTCTGCTGGAGCCTGCCAGGGGCTAGAGCTGGGATTTTTAGCTCTAAAAGGCTCAGGTCGGATTGCTGCTGCCAACGTCCTAGGCAGGGGGTCACACTAGGTTCTATGGGGATGTGTCTCTATCTCTCCTAACGATCCTGCCTCTCTCTCCAGCCAGCCCATGTACCCTGCTGATTACCATGGTACCTGACTGTCCCCTATCTGCCTCCATTTAAATGCCCGACAGCCGATGTGTTGTATTATTTCTGTATTACTGCACTTGTTATTAAATCGGTACATGTCTATATGCATCATAGTCCAATATACTCCCCTCATGCCCCAGGTTTCCCTCATGCCACCCTAACCCCCACACCCCAGCTCACATCCTGGGCCCCTCTCACTGAGATGCCCCTGCTCACTCCTGCGTGCCTCACACCTCCCACCGCCTTGGTGTCCAGTCACCCCACACTCCGCCAGCTCCTCTGATGTGACCCTCACATCTCAGTCTCTGCTTAAGCTGCCCTCATGGCTAGGCCCCTCCACAGGCTGGCCCGAGGCTCTGCTCAGCTCAGAGGTTAGGAACTGTGATGGGGTGACGACTGGTAGGGTTGCATGGTGCCTAGGGAGTCTGATCCTAAATGCGATCACCAGAATCCCAGTCAATCTGTCTGCACACTAGACCCGGGGCCTTTCTCCCCAGCCAGCCAGGAGGTGGCCTGGGTACCTAGATACCATGCCAGCTAGCACCTGACAGGTAATGGGGCAAAGGTGAAAGATGTTATCTCAGGGGGCTCGCATAGACCACAGTGATAGCCCCAGGTCGATGGAGAGAGAGAGACTCAGAGGGAGCAATTTTGACTTAGATTTGGAGGTGGCTAGGGAATCACTGACAGTGGCAGATGAAAAATGCCAGGCCATAGGCGCCGACTCTGTGGGTGCTCTGGGGCTGCAGCCCGACTCTGTGGGTGCTCTGGGGCTGCAGCCCCGCCAATCATCTCCCACCCATCCCCCTCAATATCTCCCGCCCGCCAGTGATCAGCTGTTCAGCAGCATGCAGGAGGCTCTGGGGGGAAGGAGAGGCGCATGCTCGAGGGAGGGGGTGGAATGGGGCGGGAAGAGGCAGGGCGGGGCAGAGTGGGGGGGCAGGAAGAGGCAGGCGGGGTGGGGCCGTGGGAGAAGGGGTGGAGTAGGGGCAGGGCCTAGGGCGGAGTGGGGGTCGAGCACCCCCCTTCAGATCAGAAAGTCGGCACCTCTGTGCCAGGGGGTTGCCTTTGATATGATGGGCAATTGTTTCCCACCTGCCAAAGGACCCTGTTTTGATACAATCTACCTGCCTGAGGGGCTGGATCCGCAGGGATCTCACTTTTACATTTTAGCTACAATGCGGTTGATCCAACCGACTGTGACATCACTGGTGATGCAAGCAGGGCTGGTGACTGGGGGAGGAGGTCAGATTTGGGAGACAGACTTTTAATTTGCTACCATAGTACAGAGAGCCTTTTTCATAGACTCACCCCTCAGTGTGGCTTGTGGCGGACTCCAGAAATTAACTTCCGGCATAAAGCCCTTGCTGGCTACTGAGGATCAGTTGAGACATAGTTTAGACTGAAGGTGGAATCCCTTCCAAGAGCCCATTTGAGAGATGTTCCTCTTTGCTCATAAAACAAAGACGCCCATCAGCACCTATACAGAATCTTACCGGTCGCCGTCTACTGTGAAACAGTCGTACAGGGAACGTTCTTTTACGTTGTGGGATGAAAACAAGTTTATTACACAGGTAAATCTCCCACTTCTAAGACTGCTAATCTACAGCTCTGTTAGCTGAAGGATGGGTTTCTGATGGTCTGTGAGTGTGGCACCCAGGGCTCGGACTGCGTCAGATGACATAAGCCAAAGGCCCCCAAATTGAGGGGCGCGCCCCCCTAGGGGGACAGAGAGGAATGTTGGGGGGGGCACGGCAGGTCCCAGGCCAGCCCCCATGGGGGGCGGAGAGGTAGCAACACCCAGCCCCACTCCACTCCCAGCTCTGCTCCAGCCCTGGCCCCGCACCAAGTCCCGCTCCTGGTCCCAGCCCTGCCCCCAGCCATGGCCTCAGCTTCTGCCCCCAGCCCTGGCCCCACTCTTGGCCCCAGCCCCACCCCCAGCTGTGGCCCCAGCCCCCTTACCCCTGTCCATGTCCTAGGGGGCATGGACAGGGGTAAAGCGGGGGGCGCAAAGCTCAAAAATTTGGGGACCACTGACATAAACTTAGCAGCTTTGGGCTAAGTTGGGAGTGGGACAGGAGACTTCCAAACATTTTGAAGAGTGCTGCAAGCCAGGGGGTTATTTTGTGGGTTTTCCCTTAGCGGGAAAGTTGAGCAAGTGCAGAAGGATGGTGGCCGGGGTACTCTCCTGTCTTTCCAACGAGGCTTGCATCAGAATCCCTTTACCACAGGCGGCTGTGGGGCTTTTAGACTGCAAACTGTGGGTCAGGGACTTTTCTTACCGTGGGCGTGTACAACACCTAGAGCACTGGGGCCTCTCGACGCTCCTGCAAAGCAAAATATCATCATCAGCGTCATCATCATCATCAATCAATCTGTAGTGATTGAAGATCCCATGGTACAAGGCGGAGGGTATCATCCCTGACATCACCGCTACACCCCTTCTTCCCTCTCATTCCCACTGCAGCTGCAGGTGGGATTCTGCTTGTGTTGAACCGCTGCGCACGGCTGTTTTGTATTGTTTAAAGGCTGCTGCTCTCAGCCCTGGCGGAAGGGGGGGTCCGCTGGT